CCATATTTGTTTGATGTCTCTCCTTGTTCTAGCCTCACATAGAGCCATGAATCTCAGCAGTTGACATAGTCTTTGGAAATGCTCTTGGGTGTGGCGGCATTTGCCAACTATAACCATTCAAGGAAACCCTTAGGAAGGGAATTAAAACTGCATTGTACCCCTCTATGCCTAGTTGAGGGAAGCCTGGACCTATGTGGGTATTGAAGGCAACCTTCTTCAGAGTCTTGAGACCAGAAAGCAGACAGCCTTTTTTGGTTCAGAATTGTCAAAAAGTTACTAATAATCCCTGCCTCACCCCAAGTGAAATTTAAGTTCCAGGTAGTGATATCTTATTGGAGATTTTTCTCAACTGGCAGCCCTCTTCCAAACTTCTTTACCTTGACCATTCTGGCTTTCTGAGGTCTGTCTTCAAGAGATTCCACCACCCTCCCTCAGTTTAGTTGTGTTTCTGTCACAAGTCAGTGACAGTCACTGGGTAGCAACTGAAGAAAGAAGATAGTAAATTCAGAAGAAATCTCATGGAGTAAGACCCAAAGTCTTTCCCACCCTTGAAACATTTTTCATGACAGCAGAACCTATTCATTCATGGTAGATGTTAAGACCTTCCTATTGAGTCTACTGATGATTAATAATTGTACTTGACTAATTTCAAGGCTAGTGTCTGTCTTATGGCACATGGAATGATAACAGAGTAATACTTTTAAATGGAGTTGTTATGAATTGCTAGAGGTACTTGCCTGCTGGGGCGCCTGGGTGGCTTNTGTCTCTCTCTCTCTCTCCTAGAAATAAATAAAACATTAAAAAAAAAAAAAAAGGGGTACTTGCCTGCAGCTGTGGAGATCCTCCCTGTCAAAGAATTATCTATGCTACTGGCAGAGGGCTCTAAGTGTACCAGCAAGCCTATTGAGACTTGACTTTGGCAAAGATAATGACCTTATAGACCAGAATTACTAACAAGAGAAGGTAGTCTTGAAAATGAGTCCCTGAAGGGCGCCTGAGTGGCTCAGTCGGTTAAGCATCCGACTTCGGCTCAGGTCATGATCTCACGGTTTGTGGTTTCGAGCCCCGCGTCGGGCTCTGTGCTGACGGCTAGCTCAGAGCCTGGAGCATGTTTTGGATTCTGTATCTCCCTCTCTCTCTGACCCTCCCTGCTCACGCTGTCTCTTTCTTTCTCAGAAATAAATAAAACATTAAAACAAATTTTTAAAGAAAAGAAAATGAGTCCCTGAAATAATTAATAGTGATTATATCAGTTCTGGTTGAACTGAGCAGTCAATTGTGTAACTCCTAGACTAGTTTGCTCTGATTCTTTACAAATGCATAGTCCTGACTTTTGTAAGACTTGCACATATAAAACATTCTCTTGCTGGAAGGTTGATGCAGTGCTTCCCCCCCCCCCCCCCCGCAACGGTACCATCTTAATAGAATGGCAAGGCACTCTTGATTGATCAAAACGGGACATATTTAAATGCTTTGAAATATATAAATATAGTTTCCAGAAAGCAGAATGTAATATAAGTAATGTGGTAAACACTAGAGCCTAATCCTGGCCCTTTTATTAGCTGTATTACCTTTGAGAAATTTCTTAACCTCTCTAGTTTGTTTCCTCTGTAAAATGAGGGAGTTTAAGTAAATCTGTTTCTCAGACTCTGAACCTACCACAGATTACTAGAGATTTGTTTAGGTGGCATATATGAGATAATTTCAAACAGTTTCCTGATAAAAGATTAAAACAAACATTGAATTGAATAATTGAGAAAGTTATTTCTTTTTCAGTCCTTCTGATTGTGTCAGACAGATTTTCAAATTAGTATCAGGATATCTTTACAATAGTTCTTTAACACTGGATAATTGTTTGGGAGTGGAGCTGATGGGTGGGAGCAGGTACTGAGAATCCTCCATTCCTCAAGATTTTCTATAGAAGCATAACTAATTCCATTCCTTCAAAGGGAGAAGTACTGCAGTGTTGTTGTTGTTTTTTTTTCTTCTTTCTGTCTACCTCATTTACCCTCCACTTGGCAGGAAAGTAGTGCATACAGCTGGTGAGTTTAGGGGGAGGAATAAACGTGTGAGGCATAGCCCTGTCTGGCTTCTCTCATGGCATGCTCTTCCTCCTCCTCAGTATAGTAGGCCTTGGTTGACAGACTCTTCTTAGGACTGGGTGGAAACCCGTAAGGCCATAAATCCAAAGAACAATACTACATTCTGTAGTTCATCCTTATTGGTAATCAAGCTGATATTTTGATTACCATTTATCCTTCTCTCTATCTCCCATTTGGTTTGAAACTCATAGGAGATGTGAGGGGAAATGCAATTATACCCCTTTAACCTCACTGATAGATAACCTCTTCTTTTAATAGGAATCTGGCTTGAGCCCAAGGCGCTTCATAGGCAATAGTATTTATATAGAATTTAATGATATGGTTTCATTTTCAGTGAAGTTATACTTCTAGTTTCCATCTATAAAATAAATTCATGTAAGTTTTAAAATGAATTTTTAAAACATTAATACAGATAATACATGGATATGGTAAAAATTGTAAAGTGAATACATAAATGACTAAAGTTTAGAAACCACTCACTAAGCATGATCATTTCTAATCTAAGATCTGTTCCAGATTTAAATTCACTTCAATATAAATGCCAGTAGTATAAAAAATGTTAGGTGGTAAACCAAGTAAAAACAAATGGGACCTTCTAACCATAGCATATAATATGTTATTTTCATTTATTTTAAAATATATCATTATTGAGGAAGCTAACCTTTTTTTTTATTTATAAATATCCTTTTCTTAATATTTTACTAGGCAGTTGAGTATTGATATCTTTTTGATAACACATTATTAGGTGATGGTATTTTATTTTATTTTTCTTCCACTGAAAACAGTCAGTTCTGGGTGAGGTTTTTGAACTAGAAATCTTGGAGAGCAAGGACAACGTTGTCACTGTATACTCTGCCTCATACAGTGTTTGGCATATAGCACTGTTCAATAAATATTTGAACAAGTGGAATGAATGAATGAATGAACGAATGAATGAATGAATGAAAAACCAACAAAAATAAACTACATTCTCTGTCTTGAAGATATAAGCATAGTTTCAATTTATTTCTGAAGGCTGTCAATAGGACTAGCTGTAAGAAAGTTGAGCCCTTGGGGTAATCAGTGAAAGATAGAGCTACACAGAACATTTAGAATAACCATGTTAGGAAGAAATCGCAAAAGGAAGGTAGCCCTATTAATTTTGCTTTTGTTTATGGCCATATAAGAGGCTAGATTTTTCCTTTCTTTCTCTCTTTTTTATAAAAAAGAACTGTTTTCCCATCCTAATTTTCCTCTCATTCATGTGGTATGTCTCTTATCATGTCCATATCACAGAAAGCATCCCAATTTCCCTTGCCTTTGGGAGATTATTAGAGCTTAACTTAAAATGTGGCTCACTCTCTCCCCATACACTCTTTTTTTTTTTTTTAATGTTTTATTTATTTCTAGGAGAGAGAGAGAGAGAGAGAGAGCGTGAGCAGGGGAGGGTCAGAGAGAGAAGGAGTCACAGACTGAAACAGCTCCAGGCTCTGAGCTGGCAGTCAGCACAGGGCCCGACGCGGGGCTCGAACCCACGAACCACGAGATCATGACCTAAGCGAAAGTCGGACGCTTAACCGACTAAGCCACCCAGGCACCCCTCTCCCCATACACTCTTAAGTGTAGTTTCTCATCTGATAAAGGTGCCCACCTCTTTCTTAACTGGTACCCTAGATGAACTGCAATGCTGGTGGTAAATTTTTTTATTGCCATCTATTCATGCAAAAAATGTCATGTTTCAAGGGCTTTGTTCTAAGAATCCTGAAATGAGTTTTACATGTCAGAGAGAGAATATTAACCAGACATTTTTAGTTATGCCAACTAACTTTCTTATAATCATGTAGTTTGAGTGATTACATTTCCAGATGATGAGATTTACTATAAAACACTTGGCATAAATGCAGAAAAACAAAATTTCAGGACTGTGCTCCATTCTGGTGAATACATTTTAAATGACTTCTAGGTTTATTCTCTATAAGTGCATTCTTTCTTTAATGGTCCAGTGATTAACTGGAATTATTTTGTATGTTCAGGTTAATATTTTCTGTTACTGAAATTTTAATTCAATACATTTTGTATTTGTAAAATTTATCTGCCTGGTATCTTCATGTCTTCTAGTTATTACTATATGGTCTTCAGTATCCAAAGATAGATATTCAGTTAGATGTCTTCAATATCTAAAGTTGCTGGCTTATCCCATTTTGGGTTGTTCATATCATTATATTATAAAATTGACAGAACAGCAGTATCATTAATGACATATACAAGTTGGATTCTGAAACTAATCATCATCTACAAAAATTAGCATCTAATCGTATTTTAATTTTAATGTCCAGATAAACAATCAACATAGATTCTATTGTTATTATAAGTGAAAATGTAATAGATAATTTGGCCAAGAAAAAAAAGACTTTAGTATTATCATTTTTTTTCTTTAAAAGATATAACTGCTTGACTTATAATAGTAATCCTACCTCTAGAGTCGTGCTCTGTCATGAAATTAATGCAAGAGCCATTTGCTATAATGACAATCTTGAAGTTTTGAGGATACTTTATTGTCTGGTTCAAAAACCAAAACAATTATAAAAAACAGAACTTTGTGTAGCTGGCTGTGTTCACTGACAATATGGTTATTCTCTGATTAGACATTCTGAGTGCATCTCTCTCTGGGGTATGAGGTGTTGATGTGGCAGCATGTTATGACAGGGTGGCGGAGGGGAAGATCATAGATTTCGGAGGCATGCCGACCTAAATGTGAAATTTAGCTCTGTCACTTCTGTTTCAGTACCTTGGGCAAGTTACTTAACTGTCTCTGTAATACTGCTGTAGAGTTGCTATAAAAGCATCCAGAGTGAGTTCTCAAATGGTAATTGTATGAGAAATATAGTGTGGTGATGATATGTTTTGATATTCTCACAGGTGAAGTAAAGGACAAAAACGTTCAGGTGGTTGAGCTCCCCATTGTAGACAGTCTTCATCCTCGTCCACCATATTTACCCCTGGCGGTACCAGAAGACCTTGCAGATCGGCTTGTACGTGTCCATGGTGACCCTGCAGTGTGGTGGGTGTCCCAGTTTGTCAAATATTTAATCCGCCCACAACCGTGGCTAGAAAAAGAAATTGAAGAGACTACTAAGAAGCTTGGCTTCAAACATCCAGTTATTGGGTAAGAATCTGATTTATTCCTCATAATGTGATGTGTAGTAGCAGAGATATGTGTACTTTACAATATATTGTGAACTTTGTGATATAGTTCAATTTTCAGAGCCATACCCTAAAACAGATATTCCAGAGTTCACCTAAGGTCATAAGGAGATCATTCTTCCTTTGTTCACTTAGAACAGCTGAGTCATCATACTTTGTTACCCTCATTCACTTATTTATTCATTTAACAAATGAATGTCATATCCTATCTTATCCTAACAAGACCATGAGATGAAGCTGTCACATTTATAACTTTTCTATTGCACTTTTTGTTAGACTTCTTTAATTACCAGTGATGATTATTTTGCATTTTTTTAATGTTCTGTTTTCTGCCCTGGAAGCTATTTTGATAATAAAATACTATTTATAATATAAGATAATGTTAAAATTATGATTTAAAATTATCTCTTGGCCCACTTGGGAGTTATCATGTATATATGCATCCAGTCTCATGCTTATGTTCAAGGAAATCATAGCACAAAGAAGCATCTTTGTGCATAAGCATGTGCTCCTATACACATATATAAAAAGTTACGGGAAGAGGAATTTTCCTGGGTCCTGGTGGCAGATTTCATATCATGGGAGAATGTTCTTTGCCTAATGGAAAGAGTACTGGACTGAGATTTAAATGACCTGGATAATACTCCTGGCCTTTTTCTAATTCTGGACCAAGTTACTTAATAATAGTATTGGGCTTTGATTTTTCCATCTGTAAAATAGGAAAGGTAATACCTGCCCTAAAAGTGATGATGTGATAAGAAGGGTAAAAGGATTTTAGTTCAGTGGGAAAAATGCACTGTAAAATAATACCTTTCAGAAAGACTGATGCTAAAATAATTTCTAAAAATAGACTTGTAGGCTAGACTATAACATTCTGTAACTTATACTGTTAGTAATAAAGTCAGCTATTGATTAATATTAATGCATGTGTTGTTTATTCACTTATTTGCAGAACATTTATTGAATACCTGCTACTGTGGGGGACAGAGATTAATTTTTTTTAATGGCTCCTTCTAGCTTATTACAATCTATTGGAAAAGAGACATACACAGCTAACATTATATGGGCAGAATGTGATAAATACCCTGAGAGAAGTATAAAAATTATTATGAGAGGTCAGGGAGAAATGTACTTCCATCTGTATAAGGGAAGTCTTCATAGCGTCAGTGTTTGAACAGGATCTTGAAAGATAAAAGGGTAGTAATTAAATTACCAAAATACCTTCAACTACATTATCTCATTCATCCTTTAACGTAGTCCTATGAAGTGAATAGAGATAACCATTTTCTAGGTGAGGAAACTAAAGGAAAGTTCCAGAATTAATAAAGGCAAAACCAGGACTCAAACCATCTTACTTTTCTTGGAAGCTTTCCTGTAGTTTGGCATGCCAAAAAGCTACCCTAATTATCCACGGACCATCCATCATATTAAGAGTTGGCCAAATACAAAAAATTGCAGTACCACAGACAATTGAGATATTTCATTGAGGTAGTGTGCTCTAATGAAAGAGAAAGACACTGGAATTCAAGAATCTGGGGGCCCCATCTAACTTCTACTACTAACAAGTGTAACTTTGGGCAGCATACTTGATCATTCCAGGTCTTCATTGATTGCCACTCTTTCCTCATTTGTTTAAAACTAAGAAAACTAAGTTAGATGGCATGTAAAATTTCTACTCACACAGTACTAAACAATTAGATTTTTGTGTCTACACAACATTCATTCATTTATTCATTGTATTTGGTGCTATTGGAAATAAATAAAATCACATTCCCTCCCCTGAAAGACTCAGCTTGATAATCTGATATAGATGACCCTGAACAATGCAGTTAGGACTGCCGACCCCCATGCAGTTGAAAATCCATGTATAAATTGGCTCCTCCAAAACTTAACTACTAATAGCCTAGTGTTGGCTGGGAGCCTTACCAATGACATAAGCAGTCAGTTGACATCTATTTTGAATGCTATATGCATTATATACTATATTCTTATAATAAAGTAAGCTAGAGAAAATATGTTATTAGAAAATCATAAGGAAGACAGGATACATTTACAGTACTATGCTGTAAAAAATCTGTGAAAGTCAGGCAAGTACGCAAAGAACTTTTACTTTAGTAAAGACTAGGTTGAACAGTATGTTAGAGAAACCAGCCTCCTCTTGCCTTATAGTTGTCTTTTTATTCATTGATATGTCTTCAGAAGCATCAGTTTCCTTAAAGTCTGAAAAACTTACATTAAATTAAAATGACTTCCAATATCCTTCACAAGGTTAATACTCTGGTTCTTCCATAGAGACTTCATTATGCCTCTCTCAAAATTCTTGATCCAAGCCTAACTTCAGGAGTACTTGGAGACATGAGAAAATTTCTGAGTAGTACTCTGCCACTACCTCATATGCTCCTCTTCCTTTGATTCTTCCTTCCATTATTACAGCTCTTCTTTGTTTCTATTTTTATTTTTGTTTTCCTATCTCCCACCTAGCATCTTTCCTTGTGTCTTAGTCTTAATATCTATAGAAGTTATTGACCCTTATTTTAAATGTTAGAGCTAAAGAAAGTACATGGTGAAATCAGTATCAAGAGTGTTTCTTCTTAGGAACTTTTCATTGAAATTCAGTGGAATTGTTTATCCCTATGGAGCACAGTGAACAATTCCAATTTCTTGAGAGAGAAGCAGTGATTAAGGATATGGGAAGGAAACAATAGAATACCTGTAAATATAAAGGTACGCACATCTGGACTGGAATAGTCTGGAATGCAAAGGATACCCATAAAGATTAACTGCAAGTGAAAACAGACCTGCCCACCGGATTCATGATAAAAAGCTGATCTTGGGGGGCGCCTTGGTGGCTCAGTCAGTTAAGTGTCCGGCTTCAGCTCAGGTCATGATCTCATGATTCGTGGGTTTGAGCCTCGCATTGGGCTCTGTGCTGACAGCTAGTTCAGAGCATGGAGCCTGTTTCAGATTCTGTATCTCCCTCTCTCTCTGACCCTCCCCTGCTCAGGCTGGCGCTCTCTCTCTCTCTCTCTCTCAGAAATAAGTAAAACATTAAAAAAAAGGGGGGGGGGCGCCTGGGTGGCTTAGTCGGTTAAGCGTCCGACTTTCGCTTGGGTCATGATCTCGCGGTTCGTGGGTTCGAGCCCCGCGTCGGGCTCTGTGCTGACTGCCAGCTCAGAACCTGGAGCCTGTTTCAGAGTCTGTGATTCCCTCTCTCTCTGACCCTCCCCTGCTCATGCTGTCTCTGTCCCTCTCCTAGAAATAAATAGAACATTAAAAAAAAATAATAAAAAAAAAAAAAAGCTGGTCTTAGGCTTGACCTAAGGCATGCCTGTATACTGTGACCTAAAAGGAAACACATTTACCATTTTCTTTTCCCATATATGAATAGTGGTTTACTAATTTGGTGGGTGTTGGGGAGGATGCAGAAAGGACAAATTTAAGGACAGTTTTAATTTATGAAAATAAACTATGACCATTATTTTTTTCATTACAGTTACTTTGAAAGCACTAAGATGGGAGGAAAATACTGTGAAAGTCAACAAAGGATGATGTAAATCTTTGTCCCCAATTTTACAGTTTTAGAGCTTTTTTACAATAAGACAGATGAGATCAATATCTACATGTGTTTGATAGCGTGAAAAACAGCAAAAGGAAATTCATTATGTGTATAACAAAAGGGGTAGGATGTCTCCATGAACTTGGAATGTAAGAATTCTTAAAAGGTTTGCCTACCTTGATTGTGCTATAGGAAGAATCCTTGCAGGTCTGTGTTTTCCTTGGACAATTTTCAATTCTATAAGCCGACAGTTACAGTAACTACACAGGGTAAAATGAAGAAGAAGAAAAGTTGGCATCAAAATGTTGCAAATATTATATTTAATATTCTGTAATAACAGCTGTGAATCTTGGTATCATTTGTTGCCAAAAATCTTTAAAAAGTTATATCTGTTTTTTTCTGGGAGGCTGGTTGTTATTTTGCTGCCTCTATGGAGTGTAACTCTGGAATCTTCCATTTACTCTACTATTCTTGGATATGCTAATTATTTTCTTTATAAGAAAGCATTCTTCAAAAGCTTATTTTCTAATTCTCCTTACATTGTGTTAACATGCAAATATATTTAGAATATATGTGTTTGAATTTTTAAAATATTTTATTTTTTCTAATGGCAAAAGTGAAAGAAAAATTGGTTTAAAATGTCTATGATGCCACCGTAAATAATGAAGTTGAGTAGCCTAAGAGCACCCAGTGGATCAGAAGGTCAGAGCATTATCAGCAGAGTCTGACTTTCTCCCTCTGTCCCCCCAGAGTACACGTCAGACGTACAGACAAAGTGGGAACAGAAGCAGCCTTCCATCCCATCGAGGAATACATGGTACATGTTGAAGAACATTTTCAGCTTCTCTCTCGCAGAATGCAAGTGGATAAAAGAAGAGTATATTTGGCCACGGATGACCCTTCTTTATTAAAGGAGGCAAAAACAAAGTAAGTTAGATGTACTAGTGATTCTAGACCAGTACTCTTTTTCAGTTGAAAGGAATCCTTAATTCCTGTGACTTGTCATTCTTGTTATAATACTACTACTTATTATTGGAGTTTTTAATTCAAACAACTATGTACCTATATGACTGTTAATATAACCAGGAGTGTATTTGAGGTGCCAGTACGGTGTATATTTCATTCTGAAGCCTCTTCTCTTCGTGTGTAGGCAGCTGTCATCTTGCTATGTACTAACATGACCTCTCTCTGTGTTTGGAAGAGAGAGCAAGCTTTCTGGTGTCTCTTCCTGTGGGGACATTAATTCTATCATGAAGGCCCCATTCTCATGCACTTTCTTTAATCCTAATCATCTCCCAAAGGCCCCATCTCCAAATATGATCACAGCTCAAACATAGGTATTCTAGGGGGCCACAAATGCTAACCAACAATATAGAACTGCTGGCAATAAAACATACCAGGTGCTTGCCTTTTTACTTTCACTGTCTTCACTGGCAGTGATGGGCAAATGAAACATATGTAAAATATGTGTAAGTTTTCAACTTATATAAAAATTTCTGAAACTTGGAAGTTATGTTAAAGAAAAGTAAAGGATCAGAAGATAAGTTTCATAAGTGAAAGAATAAGAACTGCTAGTATGTATTGAGCAGTAAAACAGTAATCCGTCATTTATAGAGCATGCCTGTATTTCAGGCACTGTTAGGTGCTGGCGATTCCATGATAAGCAAAATACTGTGCTCTCAAGGAATTCCCAGTCTAGTGGGGGAACAGACAATTACTCATACTCCACAGTATGAGTAGTGCTACTATAGAGTTAACATAGGGGTTAAGAAAATACATATACATGCTGATCCTAATTGGGAATTTATCATAGGATCTGGGTGAACCTAGAATTGGTCTTCACTTATTATTAATAAATAAAGGATGTATTAAATATATGGAAGTAAGGAATGAGGGAGATGATTCTGTATTCTTAGCTTTGCTCAGACACTCTCTGCTCCAGAAATCATCCCTGAATCCCAGCGTGTCCCTCTTCTCTGCATTCCTCTGACTTGGTGCTTAGCACTTGCTTACCTCTGTCTCCCTCACTGGATTATAAGCAAGCACTTTAGACACAGTACCTACCTCTAGTAGGAGCCCAGTAAGCACTGAATTATGTTTATTTCAATTTCAATTTCATCAGTTTGAAAACATTTTTATTAGCTGTCAATCACTTAAGCTATTGGTTATTTAATTAATTTATTTATTTTTGGTTCACTTTTTATGTCACAAATAGAGGTTGGAGAGAAAAACAAATTTAAAGTCAGTACTATACTGTAGATGTTTATCAAAAGCATTGGATAATAGTTTAAATCCTTTTTCTCCCTCCTAAGAATCTAAACCTGATGGGGGCGCCTGGGTGGCTTAGTCGGTTAAGCGTCCGACTTTAGCTCAAGTCATGATCTCACAGTTCATGAGTTCAAGCCGTGCATCAGGCTCTACACTAACAGCTTGGAGCCTGAAGCCTGTTTCAGATTCTGTGTCTCCCTTACTCTCTGTCTGTTCCTCTCAAAAATGAAAAAACATTAAAAACTTTTTTAAATGGTTAAGATGGTAAATTTTATGTTATGTGTCTGTTATGACTATTAAATAAATACACACACAAAAAGATGAAAGAACATTGTTATTCATGAAGAACATGAATCCAGGGACTGGNTTCGTCAATCAAGTGTGAGCCAAGTTATATACTTATAGTTAAGGATTAAATGAACATTTGGGCACAAAACACAATACAAAATTTTCACAGATACTTTTCTAGTTTGATATCCAGAGACAGAGTAGAAATAGTTCACCATGCTCCTTAATATTAAAATACCAGACTGAATTTGTAATTGATTGAAAAAAATATTAAAATATTATCTACTCTTTTACTTGTTCTTGAAGCATCACAAGCTTTTTTCTTGTTTTTCTTTTTTCCTTGATTAGCAAAATAATTCATGTTCATTAGACAATATGGAAGTTGGTAAGTATACAAGCAAGGAAAAAATATTACCCACAGTCCTATTACTCAGTGGCAACAGCTATTTAAATGTTGATATATTCCCTTTAGTCGTTGATATAGTTACTCATTTTAGTATTGAGTATACTATAATGATCATATTCTATATAATTTGAACTCTTTTAATACGGCAGTGGATCCATTTTCTCATTTCACTAAAAAAAATAATTATCTTAAATGTCCCCTTTAATGACTATATACCCCCTGTATAGATGTGTCATTGCTTACTTGCTCATTCTTCTAATATTGGACACTTAAGTTATTTACTTAAGTGTTATCCAATTATTTACTCTTATAAATAATGCTACAGTATATTCCTAAAGTTATCCACATTATTTCCTTAAGCTAGATTTCTGGCCTTGGAAATATTTAGATAAAAGGATATGAGCATCTTACAACTTTGATCCATGTACAGCATATGTTTGTGTTAAGCAACAATGTTGCTAGTAAAACGAATTTCCTTTCCATGGTCAGCTGGTCAGCAGCAAGTAGCTCCTCTCCCTATGGCAGTTCAGGAGGCACTTTTCCCATATTCCGTTAGGAATGTTGCAGCAGCATTTTATGCACTTTTTTACCTCTTTGCAAGTCCTTTCATTTTAATTTTCTGAGTCATTTTGAAGATCTTCTCAGGAATTTAAATGCTATTTCTCATTATTTTACTTCTACGTTTTTCTACTCTGAATTAACTCTGCTTTAGATCTGTTAGGATTGGTTTTGATAACCTAAGCAAATCCTAAAACCTCTGCCATTGTTTTCGGAGACCAAAAGCATGAATCAATCTCTCATTGCAGTATATCGAGTCCAGGGTCATTATGAGACTTCATAAATGAGACTCATAAAGAATTATGAGTGCTTCAAGAGGGTAAAGAACTGAAGAATGATGATTAAATGATACATAGGATTCACAGTCAGAGGAGAATCTATTTTCTGGGTAGCTTACCTTTGGTAAAAAGCGGTCAAGATAGGTTTATATATGTGGCTTCTGTGTGAAAATGAGCAGTTAATGCTTTGCTGCTTGGTATCATACCTCAGGTTTCTCTGGGTTAAGACTGAGTTCATCCATGAGATTTTGGCACCTGCATCCCACTGACTGTGGCAACCATTGCCAATGTGGAGATATCTCTCTTAGGTAATTCACTGTTAGAGTGTTTAAGTCGCAGACTCATTGGCAACGAAGCAAGAACTATTAAAATTTTCTATCTAATATTGGGTATCCTAAGATGTGGAGACGGGGAACAGGGGTGAAACAGGAGAACAAACAAGTCTTTAAAAATCTCCCAGAGTAAATATTTACATATTTAGTTTGCTTTTTATCAAAATTGCTGGATGAACACTCCTAAACTTAGTTTCATTTAAAGGAATAGAGGCAAGAAAAAATTATTTAAAAGTTTTTGTTAAGTGTTTAGTTGCCTTGTGAAATGAAGACCCCACAATAAAGAGTGGTTAATTTTTTCACTATTTTATTGAACTATAATATGCTAGACACAGTTACAGGGCACTAGGAATACAAAGAGAAATAGAAGATAATATGCTGCTCCTTATTTTCAGGAGTATCCAACTGGTGGGCAGTATACAGGTCACAAATAATTACAATGTAGTTAGATAGATGTCCTGAAGGAGTTGTATACCAGGTACAGTGAAATCATGAAGAGTATCTCGCTCAGCCTGGAGAAAGACTTCAGAAAAGAAAATGTGTTGTTTATAACTTTAACTTAGTCCTTTGTGAGTGATATAAAAATAAATTTTTATAAGGTGGAAGGAGAAAAAATATTCTATCATTGCCAATCTCTACAACCTTACAGTAAAAGAATTCCTCTGCTGACATACTTGTAGGCAAAAGATCAGAAAGTAGCATGTTTGTGCAGAAATTTCCATGCTCATTATTGGAGATGCAAAATCTCCCTCTTCCATTATTTACTTTGTTCCTGTTTGTTTTTTCCAAACTCCATATCCTTCATCAAGCAGTCTTTAGCATACACAGAGGAGCCCTGAGAAACTTAGATGTTCTTTTGGTTTGGTTCTAGGGAGGGGTCTTTAAATTAGGAAGGGCATTAATGTTACTGTCACTTCTCAGGAAAAGGATCACTCTTTTCTTTTCATTGAGCACCCAAACCATGCTGACAGAGTTATTTGTTGCTGTTTCTGCCCCATGCCTGGGTGTGCAGCTTCACAGGAATCACATTAAAAGTCTTTGGGGTTGTTTTCTTTTTAGAACAAATATGACATTTCCTTCGTCTCCCTGATTCAGGGCTGAGGAGGGTAAAATGTCAAAACTAATGAGGCCAAATGGATCTGAACAATGAATACCAGTCTGAAGCAGTGCTCAGAGACTTTGCCGTCACAGTCATCATTAGAGGCAATGAGAAGAAGCTCCTTGGTGGCTGTGAAATGAAGAGAAATATGAAGCAGCTGTTAGGGGATGAGGAAAAAGTCCCAGACATAGGTAGTGTGTACTACTTATGTATCATGTACTTACTCTCACAGCACTGTGTGGGGTACTAGGTACTGGGTGATGCAAAGAAAAGTATAGTCCCCACCTTTGGGGGAGACAGACATGTAACCTGACTCTTGATGATTCAGGGTTTATAAATAGGAACTACTACCCTGTCAACAAATATTTATTGATCCTCTTATACTCCAGTTTCTGTTCTAGGTACTGAGAATAATACAGTTAACAAAGCAGATGAAATGCTTCTGTATAGAGTTTACATTCCACTTAGGGATGATGGAGGTGGGAATGGATACAGGCAGTAAATAAACAGTGAATACATATTATGTCAAATGATAATAAAGGTCATGAAGAAAAGTTAATCAGGTAAAAGAGATAGAAATTGCCAAAGTCCTCACTAATAAGGCTGTATTTCAGCAGAGATCTAAAGGAAGTAAAGAATAAGACCAGCTGGATATCCACAGAAGAATGTTTAACAATCACAGCTAATATTTACTGAGCATTTACTACATGTCTGTTGCTCCTCTAAGCACTTTACATTGCTTAATGTATTTAATTCCTACAAAATTTATATAAAGCAGGTACAATTATTAGCCCGTTTTCATGTAAGTCCCAAAGTTTGCAACTTAACTCTGAAGATCTACCCCATACACTAAGAAAATTTATTCACTGTATACTAGAGTATAATTAAACCTCTTAATTCACAGTGGAATCATTTGAACATATGGTAGACTTTTTAAAGATACCGTTTTAATATTTTTAAGTACATAACCTATCTCAAGACTACCAAAATGTTGCTTAGTAGACATCTACAAAGAATTTGCTTTTATAAATGAATTAGATTGGTTTTCCATTGTTGTTGGTTAAGATGGTGCTTTGAGGACGGGAGGTTAGGGGAGGTAAGTCTGAATGATCACAAATTCTAAGTCAAAAATTTAAAATGAAATTTAATCATTGAAAAGTTCAGTGACAAAATATGAAGGCACCTTAAAAATCCTCATAGAGGTCACTCATTACAAAGAAAATAAGGAGCCTTCAACTCTTAGGAATTGAGAAGGGTCATTTTGATACATGTATGTGTGTATTACATGATGTACCAATATCATGTAACATACTTCCGAATGTTTTCTATCCCACTGATGGAATCAAAGATGCTTCATCAACTACTCTATTAAACACTATAATTAAAACTCTCCTTACTGTTAGAAAAAGGGACTTTGGTCAAAGGAGTAGGTCTACTTCCTGCTTATAAGACACTACATCCTGATAGAATACTGTGATTTCAGTGACTATGTAAAAATTTATTTCTTCTTTACAGGTACCCTACTTACGAATTTATTAGTGATAACTCTATCTCTTGGTCAGCTGGACTACACAATCGATACACAGAAAATTCGCTTCGGGGTGTGATCCTGGATATACACTTTCTTTCCCAGGCAGACTTCCTAGTGTGTACTTTTTCATCCCAGGTAAGCGATAGTAGGGTATTTTTAAATGGTCAGTATTTATGCTCACTTCAGCAGCACATATATTAAATGGTCAATATTTTTTGGTCATATTGAGTTCAGGAAGTTCTTGGGTTTGTGTATGTGTGAGTGTTTAGTATTATCATGACTCAGATGCAATTTTCTTAATATTTGGGAATGATCCCTTTTGTGAAAGAATGGGAAGATTCCACCCCCTACCCCTGCAAAAAAAAAAAAAAGCTATTCAAGTGCACTGAATACTTAGTTGCTTGCCAGCAATGGTTGAATACATCTCTACTGAAGCCACTGCTGGAGTTGTTTAAAGTACTTGGCATGTTCACAGCATTTAACTGAAATAGCAAGTAAGTAAGCTTACTTAATACTTTCTGATTTTGCATACAGTCAGTATGTAGCCGGAATCCATCCACTTCTACACATCAATGCACTGATACTGAGAGGCTGAAATGCCAAGCATTGTGACTCGCTCAGTTGCTTTATAGAAAATAAATAATAAATGTAATTCATTTTCAAGTCCTGTTAACATTTCTACCATGCAAGAAACTATACATTAAATTTAAGCAATACCATATTACAATCCTTCTTTGAGTTTAATTGTTGCAGATAATTATATGGTATGGGCTTGGTGTATTTGTTTTTATGAATGGCCCAATCAGCCGTGTATACACAATGGAATATCAGCATAGAAATATTTGTCGTTGGCTTTATTCTGCTCTCTCATTTATGTGCATATTACTGGTTAGTTCGTTCAACAAGCTGTTAAATGACTATTTGTGCTCAGAATTATATTAGGTGCAGAGGGAATTTCCAGAGAGATTGAATATATAGATCTTTTTTTTTTAATTTTTTTAATGTTTTTATTTATTTCTGAGAGAGAGACACACACACACACATACACAGCGTGAGCAGGGGAGGGTCAGAGAGAGAGGGAGACACACAATCTGAAAACAGGTTCCAGGCTCTGAGCTAGCTGTCAGCACAGAGTCCGACGCGGAGCTCAAAGCCAGGAACAGTGAGATCATGACCTGAGCTGAAGTCGGAAGCTTAACCGACTGAGCCCCCCAGGCACCCCTGAATATATAGATCTTACCCTGGTCCAGAATCTAGTAAGCAAAATATTCATATGAAGTAATTGGAGAATAATTACCAAGAAATATAGATCGTGTAAGATAAATGTATGCCTAAAAGCTTTAAAGAAGCAGAGAATAGAAAATATGAAAAGGAAGGTTGCACCATTTCATGGGAATATACTTCAGAAGAGTATAAAGAAATGGACAGTTTTTTTTATCTTGTGACAATGCCCACTGTCACAATGGGACAATGGTATGATTGTTGGAAAGATACCTCTCTCAGCAAAGGCAGTGAGTTCCTTCAGTATGGAATAAGAATACAACTTACCCAGAGACAGCTACCCAGAACAGAAGTCACATAGCAGCAGTCATCAGAATAGAACAGTTCCTTGGCCTTAAGTCCCCATGAAGGCATCCACTGCCAATAGTTTTTCCTAACTGGGATGAGGATCTTGTCTTTGAGAAGCTCACTTTTCTATTCTCGTGGGAAGCAGAAGGGAGGAATTATAATTACGTGGTCTATCCCAACTGTTACTGAGAATCTGGCTATGTGTCCACTTGATCAACAGGTGCAAATGATTAATAACAACCTCTATACACATTTTTGAATGCTTATTGTTTTGAATGAGTGAATCAAAGGCCATTTTTCCCAGATATAGCACCTCCTCTGTAGGCCTAGGTTTTAGGCCTTGTCTAAAGGCCAGAGTTTCTCAACCCAGGCACTATAAGCATTATAGGCAGGTACTTTGTTGTGAGGTGCTGTCTTGTGCATTCTAAGATACTGAGCAGTGACCCTGGCCAGCTCAAGTTGTGACAACTGAAAATATCTTCAGATATTACCAAATATTCCACAGCAGTGGGGAGGACAAAATTGCCTTTGTTGAGAATCACAGCTGTGTGTCAGAAAGCTTGAAGATGAAATAAATATATACATGTCTAAACATTGATCAGCCTTACATGTAGACAGGCATGGAGACTTATAGGGGAGATATGCTCTATTTTGCTTTCCTTTTTCCAGTTCTTAATAATACCATTAGACTCATTCTAGAAAGAAAATCCTTTTATTTTTTTTTCTTTTCAAGGATGTGCTATAGAATTTTTGATTCATACAACCTCATGATTCTAACTTTGAACCAGAAATAAGGGCCTCTCTTACTTGATGATAGTGGAAATCTGTCCAAGCGTATTGTTCATACTATTATGTTCTATTTTGTGCATAATATAAACTTCAGTGTGTTCTCCAGACCTCAGGTTTAGAGAAGTCGTTCATATGAAGAAAGAATGGTGTTCAGAGGACTTTTTCTCTCCAAAGGAATGAGATTTGTGCATATATTATATTGTTCTAAAAACTCTTGACAAGTCAAACAAAGTTCATCCAAAATAACTTTTATTCATTTGAATAAAAGCAAAGCTCAAACTAATATCTTATATCCCAAAATAGACTCGAAAACCTCAAAAGTTTTTATGTCAAGGTTCAGAATAAAAGTTTAACAGTAAAAATATACTTATATAATGAGTAGTAGTTTGCTAAACATGACCACTGCCATTATCACATACCTTTCTTGGTGACTAGCAGCTGTAGCATTTGAGATTGTAGAATAATTCCACATTTACTTATAAATCTTTAGGTTTGTACTCCAGCATTTTTTGCAAATATTTTTAGAAAAAAAATGGGTTTGGTACAGTTCAGTATTTTTACAGTGTGAATGAAATTCGTTGCTTGATTGTAGAAGTTCTCTTGCCATAAACCAAAATTGGAATTGTTTGAAATTGCCCCAGAAATGTCTCATCATAATCGCCAATGGAGTGTGAGAAAAAGTCACTGATAGCATCAAAATGCCAAGCCATTGACTTCTAGGCAGAGAACAAGATAGAGGCAACATGGATTCTGGATTCAGTCTGGGTTTAAATATAACTTTGACTACTTAGTATCTGGGTGGCATTTGAACAAATTACTAAGCCTATCACTGACCTATTTTTCTCTGCCTCTAAAACAGTGGTAGCACCTACTGTATATAGTTTTTGTGATGATTAAAAGTTATATGTAAAGCACTGAGAAGTACTTAGTGATATGTTAAATACAATATTAGCAGCTATTGTTATTTATATAAGGAAAGGTGTAAGAATACCTTGGCCTGTTAGAGAGACTCTACAGTTTTTATTTTAGCAAACTTTTTTTCACATGGCCCCATTTCAGACTATACATTCTCATATTGTAGGAGGAGCAAGAAACATGACAGTCAAGGACTCTGTTACTTCTGCTTATGCTCCTGGGTAACGCTTAGGTTCCACCAAATAGTCTTGTACAACGAGCGGGTATAACAGCTCTTCATTGTTCATTATTAAGAAGAGTAGCCTTTAAATTTCTCTGTGCCAACATACCACCTCTACTCTGTTTTATTTAGCTTACTGAAAGAGAACATCACCATATAATATAAATTTTTACAAACAAAAGCTCTTCATTCCCAAAGAGTAAATGATAAGTAATAGTATTTGCTTTAGCAAATGCAAGTAAAATTATGTATTTGTTGACATTAGGGAAATTAACTTGCAGACACTCCTATATATGCCATAGGCATACTAGAAAATGGGAGAAGACTAAAATATTAACATCCAAAAAGGTGACAAAAGAATAAGACATTGAGAATCAAATCTTAGCCCAGAATAAAATATGAACAACCAACTCTCAAACTTTCCTTCATATTCCAAGAGGTTATTAGGAAGTGACAAGTTTAATATCTTCTTCATAACGCTTTGACAGTCCTGCACTTTTATCTCCTGTGTGCTATCCTTTGAGGACTATTACAGCATAAAAGAATAGTGAGAAAGAGTTTATCTGTTGACCATGAACTACTGTAAATAATACTGGAAGAATGAAATCCCAGAAGGAAAAATGCAAGACTTGATTGATGTTTGAGAAACTATAAGCGTGAATGTCATGGCACGTTAATCAGGATTGCTTATAAGGCTTTGAACCCATCCCCCTCAGTCTCAGGGCTTCTAATCATTCTTGGTTTTATATTCATAAGTGAGATCTGGGAATTTTCTCTCCTTAAATGAAAAGGGTTTTTTTTAAGCCAATATATGACTCTGTGCTCTGATTTTGTTACTGTTGTTGCTCTTAGTTTTCTGAATCCCTTCATCAGAGCTGTTTCTCAAAAGCAAGTTTGTCCTAAGAGCCCCGTAAATTGAAGAGAACAATCCTCACGATTTAATCTGAAAATTAAAGGCAATATTAACATTTTCCAAGAGCATCAAGAAAGTTTTGAAAACTGTGTGATCACATTCCAGGCTATTCTACCAAATCCTCTAATCTTGTTCTGTGTTACTGGAAGTTGCCTATACCCAAAGCATCTACTTTGTCATTTATTTTCGTGTTTAATAAAACTGTTTTAAATATGAAGCAAAGAAATTGCAGTGGGTGAAAGAACAGTAGTTATTATTGTTTATCAGATTTTTTAATCAGTTTCTATTACTCTGGAATCAGATTTACAGACATTGTTGTAGATGCTCACTTTAAAGTAGGCTGTGGGTAAACAACATTGTTTACGAAGCAGTCAACATTGTTCAGTAGTTTCAACCATTAAAATCACCATAGGACAAAATTACTTGTTTTTCCCCTATGAGACCTCCCTTTTTCTTTTTTTTTTTTTTTTT